GAGGCAGGAAGGCTCTTGGGGTCAGAGGACAGAGGCCCCTGCCTCCTCCCACCCACCCCGGCCCAGGACATGGCCAGCACCCACCTTCCCTCTGTCAAACTCCTCGTCCCACTCATCGACGACAGTCTCCCTCTGGGCACACGCTGCGTCCTGAATGGCATCCTGGCTGACAGCGGAGATCTCGCCCTCCCAGGTCAAGACTGCAGAGCAGTGCGGTCAGCATGGAGCACCATGCTGTGCTCCGCTGCACCGCCTGTGCAGGGCCCCCAGCTTGGGCCAGCAGCTGGAGCCCTTCCCACCAGCACCCCACTCTGTGGGGGCCCCCAGAGCCCCTCAGCCAGGTGCATCTGCCTGGTTCCAGGAGCCCCTGCAGCTGCCTGCGCAGGGAGGCTCGTGGCTGTTCGCTCACCCAGGCAAGGAGGGATTACCTTGTTTGCCATAAGCCTTGTCCAGGGAGTGCCCAAGCAGCTCCTCCACTACGCTGGACTCCTGGCTCCCGTGTGCTGTGCCAGCCTCATGGCTGGGCTCAGGGTTCGAGGCAGCCAGGCAGTGCTTGTACCCATGTCCAGTCCCATTGTCCTGGGAGCATGCTGCCTCTGCAGAAAGAAGGCAGGGTGAGGACAAGCCAAAGGGAGCAGAGGGAGCTTCTGTGTCGCTCCATCTTGAAGGCAGATCTCGCTCCAGGAGACACTGTTGCGACTAATGAGGTCCTGATGGCGCAAGGTGTTTGGGTACACTGGGGCCTGTCCTGGGCAGGGAGGAGCTGGGAGTGAACCATCCCATCCCCATGCGTCTGGAGTGGAGCACACCCTCATCCAGGCTACAACCGAGCAGCACGCAGGCCTGTGGGCAGGGCAGCGAGGACGGGGGTCAGGAAGATGGGCACCACCGGGCAGCTGTGGGGACCAGCAAGCACCGGGGACTGCACACCGGTGCGCGAGGGGTTGCGTGGGCCGACGAGCAGCCGGCTCTCCCCTGCCAGGCAGCAGGCAGGGAAGAGGCACACAGTCATACCTGGGGTGCAGTCTGCAGCACGGATGCCGTCAGTAGACGGCCGCTCCGCAGCTAGGCTGTTGAGGCTTTCTCTCCGCTTGCGCTTGCGGTGCTCCCTCTCTCCAGCACCAGCCTCCATGCGCTGCTGCTGCTGCTTTGTCCTCCAGGGCTCTGACTCAACCTTCCTACTGCTGGGAAAGGCAGCAGAGGTCAGCTTGCTCTGGCCAGACCAGAGGGGGATGAGTTTGAGCTCCCCGCAGGACAATGGGAGGCAGGGACACCCGCACCCCAGCGCTGCACTCAGGGAGGGGTGAAACCAGCCCCAGGAAGCCAGCGCTTCAGGTCCAGGCTCCATGACAGGGCTTGTCCCACCCACAGAAGACAAGAGGCACCCAGCTGCAGACCAGGGAGCGTGAATTCAAGCAGAGTGGAGGTGTGCAGGGCTCTCACCTGCCCCTAGGCCCTCACCTGCCCAAGGACAGCATCCCAGAGCCACACTCTTCTGTCTGGTCCATTTTCATCTTTTTCTTTTTCTTCTTCAAGGGGGTGATGTTCTCCGCATCCAGGTAAGTACTAGGGTCTGACATGTGCTTCTTGGGCTTGCTCTTCAGGTCCTGACGGCCTGGCCCCTCACGGCCACTGCTGCTGCCCTTGCTTGCTGCCTCCTTCTCCATGAGGGACACCAAGCCCTCCTGAGCAAGATTCTTCTTCTTCCTGGGGGGGCTGGAGACTTCATCCTTATCCTTCACAACCCGAGCATGAGGGCTGCCATCTGCTCCA